TTGAGGTAGTACTCTTATCACAGAAGCAGATTCCCACAATACTGGTGCAAGGCTAGAGAGATCAGTCCTCCGGGAGAATAAAGTTGCTAATTATCAGAATGAGATTCTAACCTTGATTCTTTTTGAGGATACAGATGCTGCTCTCAGTGAAGATCATGGTTTTATATCTACAATACAACAACTTGCAGAGACTGCCAAACAACCCATGATCTTAACAAGCAATAGTAAGAAGTCTTGTTGGTAGCATTTTGTCATAAATGACCTTCTTTAAGGCAGTGAAGTAACAGTTATTTTGGGGATATTTCTCTTAGGTAACAATCCTGTCGTTCCTAAGAGTTTGGACAGGTTAGAGTTAAATTTTGCTGTACCATCACTGAAGGAGCTATTTGGACTTGTCCGAGTGGTATGAGTTACTTGCAGATTTTCGTTTTCGAATTCTCATCAATTTCTTCATTTTGAACTACATTTTGATACCCTCATAGGTTTTTGCTGCAGAAAAGCTGTAATTCATCCTCTCGTGGTAGAATGATTCATTAATTACTGTCAAGGAGACATTCGCAAAACCATCATGCATCTCCAGCTTTGGTGCCAAGGCCAATCTCCTATGGAAGGTAATTCATACTCACAAAATCTATTTTCTCCATATTTCTGTAACTTGTGCCTGAAACTTTCTTTGTTTCCTATACAATCATTCAAATATAAATTCTTCCTTTTACAGAATTGCTTCAGACAATAACACAAAAATAACTTTGAGCTCCTATAATGCTCCGTTATTTATATCCAAGGGTTCAATATAAATCTCTGAAAAGATTCCAAGGATTTGCATGCATTTACAAATATAAATACACTACTAGAATATTAAATTTTATTTGATTAAAAATCTGTTTGTACACTCAACTTATTGGTGGGTTCTATTTTGGCCACTCTTATCTTTTTTGTTTCAAATTCAGCACTAAACATTCATTTTTCTTACTTGTTAGTCACTCCGCTCAATTCTGTCAATGGAAACTGCATAATGTGCACGTGGCTGACGGAATTGTTGTATGGCATAATTTTAGACATTAAATACCAACAATTGGCCAACATTAATAAGTTGTTTCAGGGTCAAATCTCTGTTTTGTGCAAAAACGGCTTCAATAAAATGATATCTTTTCTATTGGTCAATTGTTGGTATTTTTATCTGAGATTATGTTGGATAATAATTCTGCCCTTCATTTGTACATTGCTATAGTTTCTGTTGATGGAATTGAGTGGATTCACTAACAAGGTAAGAAAATTAAAGTTTAGAGCTAAATTTGCAACAGAAATAAGACGGGTGACCTAGATGGGGCATACCTATAAGTTGAGTGCCAAACAGGTTTTTAACCCAATTTTTATTTTATAGTTAAATATTTCCTTGTACCTTACAGGAATGTATCAGACTATCAGTATTCCACGTTGAGTTGAATTGACATAAAATACTTGGATCATTTTGAATGGTGTACAATTCAGTTTCTTAAAAGTATATTTCATTCATAACATTCAAATACCTGCATAAAGCAACAAAGCCTAAGGGGCCGTTCTCTTCGTGTTTCAGTTTTGTATTTTGTGTTTTGAATTCGTTTTGTGTTTTGTGTTTTGAGTGTCTATTTTGAAATTTCTGAAAATGCGTTCTTTTTGCCATTCTGAAAAATAGTTTCCGAAAACATAAAAATGGAAAACGCGTTTACTTTGAAATTTTGAGAATTTTTGTAATAATATTTTATTCAAAAAAACTGAT